TAATTTGTTTACCTTTGGCACACTCTTCACATTGAGAGTCTTTGACAAAGGTTAAGCTCGGTAGACCTCTTAATTTGTTTACCTTTGGCACACTCTTCACATTGAGAGTCTTTGACAAAGGTTAAGCTCGGTAGACCTCTTACCAAGTTCTTCTTAGCACACTCTTCACATTGAGAGTCTTTGACAAAGGTTAAGCTCGGTAGACCTCTTACCAAGTTCTTCTTAGATAGCTTAGAAATTAATCTCATGTTAACATGTCCAAGCCTTTTGTGCCAAATCCAAGGATCACCATCCACCGTAGTAAGGCATTCTACATCTTGATCTACAAGCTCATTCATCTAAAAAATATACACATTAGTTTTTCTAAGAGAAACAAAAATAATTTTATCATTGAGGTTAACAAAGCATTTATTCGGTTTAAAAATAATATCTTAGCCTTTGTCACTAAGTTGACTAATACTAAGAAGATTATGATTAAATCCTCTTATTAAATAAACATCTTCAATAACGGGAGAATGCTTCTTACCAATAACACCATATCTACAATTTTACATTTCTCACCGTCGCCAAAGGAGACATTGCCTCCTTTCATCCTTGATAGGGTTGAAAATAGATCTTTGTTGCCCATCATGTGATAAGAGCAACCACTATCAAGGTACCATACATCTTTACGTCTTGTGCGAGACGTTCTCTATAAGTAAAGAAGTGGTAGAAACTTTAGGTACCCAAATCTTGGGTCCTTGAATGTTAGTACTCTTGTTACCCACATCAACCCAAAATCATAAATATTATTCTTAATCCTACAATGTGTGGAGGTGTGACCTTGTCTCATGCAATATGCATAAATAAAATTTTTCTTATAAGTGGGTGCATGAGATCTATAGAACCATTTTCTACTAAAATGATGATGAACATGATTAGTAGAAGAATGATTAGATTTTAGCATAACAATTTTATTTTTTTTAATTTTTTAATTTGAGATTTAAATTGTTTGTTTTTAAACTCAAGATCTTCAATTAATTTATATTTTAAGGTAATGGCCTCATTCATTGAAGATTATAATATTTCAAATTGAGAATCACATGAGTTGTGTAATTTTTAAAATAAAGAATTTTTTTTGCTAGCTTTTTAAACTCGAAGTGAGCGGTTTCAAGTTTACATTGCATACTAAAGAATTCATCTTTAGAATTGGATATTACCTCATCTTCATGAGCCATGAAGCATATGTTTGGATCTTGGAAAGCACACTTGGCGGCTTCTTCATCACTATCAGAATCACTCGGTTCGGATTCTTCTAATCCCGCATACATTGCCTTCTTTTTCTTATACTTCAAGTACTTCTGTCTTACTTTGGAACAATCTCTTGCTATGTGTCCCAATTCATGACATTCAAAGCATTTTCCTACACGAGAAGAGAATTTATTAGAACGATTATTTTTAAAATTTTTGTTCATTATTACCAATCTTGAAATTCTCCTGGAGTGACATGTCACTTCTTTTGACACATCGATATCGCTATCAGAGGAGGATAAGTCACATTCAATGGCTCCTTTGTGTGCTATTGACTTTATCTTTTGAGGAGGCTCTTCATTTGCTCATGGGGGTTCTTCCTCCTCCTCCTTGATTTTCTTCTCATGAACCTTGAGTTTGCCAATGAGGCCATCAAGAGTGAGCGTTGTGAGATCATTGGCTTCCTCAATAGTCGTTACTTTGGGTTCCCATGCCGGTGTAAGAGAATAGAGGATCTTGTAGTTCTTCTCTTGGTTCTCAAGAACCTTATCAAGACCATATAGTTGATTCACAATATTAGTAAACCTACAAAACATAGCATTAATAGACTCATTTGGAAACATTTTGAATAATTCATATTCATGCATGAGACTACTAATTTTTGATTCTTTGACTTGAGGAGTTCCCTCATGAGTAATACATAGTTTCTCCCAAATCTCATGTGCGGTTACATAAGTGAAGACTCTATTATACTCATTGAGAGTGAGTCCACAAATCAAAGCATTCATGGCTTTAACGTTAAGTGTAGTCAAATGTCTTTCATTCTCAGTCATGTCACTACTAGATTTTTTAACATATTTTTCTCAACTATGTCTAGGATGTCAAGATCAATGCATCTCAAATATATGCGTATCCTAGCTTTCCAATATGAAAAATTATTGTCGGTAAACAAAGGAGGTCTAGTACTGAATTGACCTTCAAGAGCATGCATATTCATGTTTGATTCCATTTGATCTTTACTCTAAGGTGATTAAACTTCAATAAATATAGAGACCTTACTTAGATACCAAATAAAATTACCCTAGAGGGAATAGGGTAATCAAACAATTAATGTGTAATTAATAAAATTCAATGCAACTCCAGACACTATATAGCAATATGGCAATAAATGAGAGAGAGAGAGAGAGAGAGAGAGAGAGAGAGAGAGAGAGAGAGAGAGAGAAATAGTTAGCCAAATGAGACGCCGATATGTTCACGAGGTTCGGTCCTCTTGACCTACGCCGATATGTAAGTATAGCACGTTATTATGCAAGTATAGTACGTTATCATGTAAGTATAGCATGTTATTCAGTAAGTATAGCACGTTATCATATAATTATAGCACGTTATCATGCAAGTATAGTACGTTATCGTGTAAGTATATCACGTTATCATGTAAGTATACCACGTTATTCAGTAAGTATAACACGTTATTCAGTAAGTATAGCATGGTATACAGTAAGTATAGCACGTTAATCTGTAAGTATAGCATGTTATATTATAAGTATAGCACGTTAACCAGTAAGTATAGCATGTTATCATGTAAGTATAGCACGTTAACCTGTAAGTATAGCACATTATCATGTAAGTATAGCATATTAACATGTAAGTATAGCATGGTATCATGTAAGTATAGCACGTTAACGTGCTATACTTACTGAATAATGTGCTATACTTGTAGGTTAATGTGCTATACTTACATGATAACGTGCTATACTTAATGTATAACGTGTTATACTTACTGTATACCATGCTATATTTACTGTATAACGTGCTATACTTACTGAATAACGTGCTATACTTACTGAATAATGTGGTATACTTACATGATAGCGTGCTATAGTTACATGATAATGTGCTATACTTGCATGATAACGTGTTATACTTACATGATAACGTACTATACTTACTGAATAACGTGCTATACTTGCATGATAACGTGCTATACTTACTGAATAACGTGCTATACTTATAGAATAACCTGTTATACTTACATGATAACGTGCTATACTTATATGATAACGTGCTATACTTACAGGTTAACATGCTATATTTACTGAGTAACGTATTATGCTTATTGAATAACATGGTATACTTACAGAAGCCACATAACAACATAACAATAGTCATACTGAACGTCACAGAATTTATCTATCTTCAAATTTATATATCTATCATCAAATCTAACATAGAAGCTACATAACAATAGTAATTTAACCGAAGAATGCAATTGACAAACTATATATACAATGTTCATACAAACATATGTTTCATAATAGCCCTAGTATATCATAGTAACCCTTGTTCAATTGTAGGGCCCACTTGAGTATCCAAGATAAACTAGGGCATTAATTTACTAGCAAACAATGCATAAATTTCTGTGTATCTGAAACAAAAGCAGAGCACCAGAATAAAATTACATCAAGCAACCCTCATCACTCAACATCCGTGAACCCTTGCATTTAAAATAACATAAGATCACAAAAGAAACGCCAAAATTTATTTCAAGACAAATACTTCCCATTACAATTTTCTACAATATATAGCACGCCAACAACAAACACAGGGGAAAAAAGATTAGGAGCACATTTATTGTAATTAATGAATCTAACAACGATTGATCGATGAGCTCGAGTGATCTCTTTGATCTAATCTTCGAAGAGAGGGTGGTAACGAACTCCGGCGGCTATCATTCTCTGCTGCTCAATCTGCGTGTGCATCATAAATTTGTTTGCATAATTAAACAATCACAAATTTTGTAATAATGAGGAATTAATTAAATTGACAACAGCCAAAAGTACCTAAAGGATCTCATGAAGTTTGTTCTTGAGGTAGCAGTATTCATGCTCTAGGACCGCTAGAGAACGCACGCACCTGTTTCGCACTGAAACAAGTTTGTTCTTGAGCCAGACTTGGAGCCGAGCTTCGTGTCGAGGGCGGCGAGGCGGTGATCGACGGCAACAGTGACAGTGACGGCGGCGGGTGACGGCAACGGTGAAGGTCACGACAAGGGGGAATTTTGTTTTTTAAATTAGGGCTGAGTTAGAAAAGGAGGAAGAAGAGAAGAGAGAGCGGGGGGCTGATTTAAGTTGGGTTTTGCAAGGGGTATTTTGGGGTTTTTAATCATGTTTGTGTATAAATACAAGTGTTGTGTATACTGTATTTTGAAATTGGGTTTAAAGGCAAAAACAAAAAGACAATTGGGTTTAAGAATACAAAAAATAGTGATTGGGTTTATAGGTAAAGATGAGTAAACTAATGGGCCTAGAAATAAAAAACCCTTCTCGTAATTATAGAAAACAACCAAACAAGCTCTTATTTTCATTTTCAATCTGTTCCATACATATCTTGATCATTGCCTAAACTAATTGAGTCAAGCTAATTAGCTCAGTTTGGTCTATTTAGCACGAGATCAAACTCACTTAGTTAAGCAAGTGGGCTATTGTAGCCAGCCAAAGATCAAGTGACCTGCTGGGGGAAAGGTATATACCAAAGGAATCCATAATTTGGACAGCGTAGATCAACTGAAGCAATATGAAATGGAAAATGATAGGGGCACACCCCCAACCACACCTCCAACCACACCCCCTCTCTCATTTGCTACACTACACCGGGCCCCACATGGGATTTTAAAAATTTAAAATCCCATGTGGGGCCCGGTGTAGTGTAGCAAATGAGAGAGGGGGTGTAGTTGGAGGTGTGGTTGGGAGTGTGCCCTTAGTGTCACCCATATGAAATTTAATGAGGAAGAGAAGATTGAGGGGGAAATTATTCCGAATCTCAACAATCCGAACCTGCTCAAAATCCGAATCGAATCATGGGAATTGGGTTAGTTGGGTTCGCTTTGTGGGCCCGTCCGTCATGTTATAAATCCCCACCCAGACCTGCTATTCTCTAGATCTTCCCCCAAGATCCTCCTGGTGCTGGCAAAGCTTCAGGCGGTTGTTCTGGTGGTCATCAGGGACATCGGAACCTCGACATCGTGCATCGTTGAGTAAGCACCTTATCATGTCTCCTTTTTTCTTCTTTTTTTTTATAAAAAAAACTTTATTAATACGATAAACAATTACATATGTGATGATGACAAGCGGGCAACAAGTTGCGCCGCTAATCCTTTCTAAATTGTAAAATCCAACCTACGAAACGCATACTCAGCGGACTCTGCTGTCGCCACATTCTTATTAATTTTTATGCATCAGTTTTGCTTTTGTTTTCTTTCCCTTCTTTCTATTCTCACCGCTTGTGCCTTTCTCTCAATCCTTAATGTTACAAAAATCTTTATAAATTGCATCCTTATAGGGGGTGTTTGTTTCACCAAAAATTTTGGCATTTGGTATAGATTACAAGTTTTGAGATCAAAAAGTGAGTTTTTTTGTATTTTGGGATTTTATATATGGTGTTTGTTTTATAAAAAATTTTAAAATATTGAATCACAAAAGTGCAAAAAGTGCTCAGGTTTTAGAATTTGTCAAATCCTCTCAATTGGAGAGGATTTTGACAAATCTCATAAATGAGTGTGCTTACCTCTCAATTGGAGAGAATTTGACAAATCTCAATTTTATCATTTTGTTGGAGGTAACCTTACTAAGATAGCATATTCATCATATTATAAAATTTTGGCATTTGGTAATGCTATAATTTGAGCTTGAAACAAATAAGATAGCATATTCATCATATTATAAAATTTTGGCATTTGGTAATGCTATAATTTGAGCTTGAAACAAACAAAATATTACAAATTGTAGATTATAAAATTTTGGCATTTGGTAATGCTATAATTTGAGCTTGAAACAAACAAAATATTACAAATTGTAGAATTCTAAATCTTAAAATATTAACGAAACAAACAACATTTTAGAAATCCCAACCCATAACAAAACACCTATGATTTCAAATCTCATTGTGAAATCCATATTCTAAAATTATAGAATTTGAAACAAATACCCTCGTATGCTACCATGCTTCCCTAGTCTCTATGTCGGCGTAGGCTAGCAATTAAATGAGGACTGAATGGAATACTCCGATCTAAAGTGGGCCCGTCGTGGCTAGTACTTCTAAATTTGGGTTACAATAATTTTCGGAGTGGAGTGGAGTGAATGAGGAGGATTTGGATTTAGGAATAGTAAAAGATACGAGTTGTGGGCCTCACACTACAGCACATGCCTAGTACAGCAACTCGCATGCTACATAAAATTGTAAATGGCAAAATGGCCAGATTGGTATATTTTGTAGACACTTGACATGTTGATTTTTTTTTAATTTTGACAGATTGGTATATTTTGTAGACTTCGGCGTCATATAGTCCTTAAATTTGGTCGGAGTTACTGTTCTGTCCAGTACTGATGGAATTTTTTGCATAAAACCCCCATCATCAAAAACATATCACCAGTAATATAGTTTCGAGGGGTATATGGTAAAAGGCCACTCATCTCCGCTTACCTTTCAAGCGCACGGCCAAGGAAAGTGAAATAGGGAAAAGAAAGGGGGGAAAATCGAGAAGAGGGAAAAAGATTGCAGCTGCCATGGGTGACGGTCGGAGCTCCGGCGGCGGCATCAATCGTCCGGCGTGGCTGCAGCAGTACGATCTCATCTGCAAGATCGGCGAGGGGACATACGGTCTTGTATTCCTCCTCATCCTCTTCAACCTCCCCCTCTCCCTCCTCCTCCTCATGGGACAGTCACCATTCGAGTGCCTCTCTCAGCTATTTCTCTTCATTGCATTCAGGTCCAGCATTGCTTCAGAGAATATAATTGTAGTTAATGCTTTGTTCAAGCTGAGTCAAAAATTGAAGGAGCTTCACTTTTATTATAAGTTTGATGACCTCCCTGTTGATATTAAAAATATATCTTAGATATGTTAGCATGTTTTTTGTTGATGATGGCAAAAGGAGCCTTGTCCTTGTGCTGGCATTGCGATCTTGGATATGCAAAGAGGATGAGGAGGAGGAGGAGGAAGAGTAGGAGGGGGAGGTTGAAGAGGATGAGGAGGAGGAAGAGGAAGAGGATGAGGAGGAGGGAGAGGGGGAGGTTGAAGAGGATGGGGAGGAGGGAGAGGGGGGTTAGGAGCAGGATGAGTTTTTGATGAGGGGTTTTATGCAAAAAAATCCCATCAGCACTGGCCGGAACAGTAACTCTAGCCAAATTTAAGGGCTATATGGCGCCGGAGTCTACAAAATATACCAATCTGTCAAAATAAAAAAAACTTATACCAACATGTCACCAAGTGTCTACAAAATATACCAATCAGACCATTTTGCCAATTATAAATACATGTAAAGTTTCTGTAAGATAAACCAGTCTTCATAAATTTTACACCTTTCACGGTTCACATGAAAGGCATTCCTCATATATAGATCAAATTAAGTAGGATAAAATAAAATTCTAACTCAAATAAAAAGGTAACTTATAATTCTCACCGAAAATAACATATAATATCAAATACGATAGTAACTAAAAGATAAAATCAAATCCTAAAGAAAAAACCTTGTTGTGAAGGAGATAATGAAATTTTATCCGTGACAGTCATGGAGTTCAATTTTTTTTTGCAGATTGACTTGCGCTATTTGTTTTAAATATCCTCGACATGACCCGATGTATCGCCCGATATATATCATTTTACAGGGCTTGCCGCAACTGATATTGTCTCTAAATATCGTTTATCTCTTTTTAATGATTTTGGGTGATATATCAGTGATATGGCTGATATATCAACTATATATTGACCGATATATCCTTTTATATGGCTTGTCGCAAGATAATATACCGCGTTTGGTAATTTTTGGGCGAGATACCATGATTTTCCCATTATATTAAGTGAGATTTTGGCCTTAAAAAATCAGACAAAATGTTGCAACGTTGATTTGTACTTCTGCTTGTTTTACAAGGGTGATTAGTGATTGTAAACATATATTATTTACATTTTGTATGTTTAGTTTCATAAAGTAGTTGAGATTACATTTTAGTGTATTATACTATATAGGCAAACATCCGTTATGCATTCTGATATTTACCACATATCCCCTATATTTTCCCGATGTTTCCTCGATATCCACAATCCGATATGAATTTTGGCCATTCGATATTTCCCCAATATCCGATATTTAAAACCAAATGATGGGCATGGGAGGGTAGACTTTGATCTAAAGTGAGTCAGGGCTCTGGTGACAGTTTAAAGTTTCTCTCGAATTATTTGAAGAGGAATGGACTTTGTGGAGGAGGATGATTTGGATGTAGGGTAAATATAAGATACAAGAAAGCACACACCTAGTATAGCAACTGACATGCTAGCCATTTACTTATTTATTATGTCTATATTTGAGATATCCAACACGTGCAACATAAAACTCGTGGAAACTGATTTACCGCCAATGTCAGTTTATTTAGAATTGCCTTGAAGATGTGTTTCACCTACTCAGAAATGCTTGTATCCTCCGTTGCGAGATGATCATGTCCCATTGAAGTGTAATTACTTAATTAGATTTAGAGTTTTCATTTTTAAATGCATAATGGATGTAGTCAATAGAATCATTGATTGCTGTAGTCATCCGTAGTCCTTGTCTTTTTACGTTTTTGCATGTACACTGCCATTACTTGCCTACTTTTTGTTACTTTTCACCAGTATTTAACTTCTGATAGTTATTCATTTTTCTTCTAACCATGGGTGTTCCATGAATTAGCTTTTTTCTGATGCATGTACAAATTCTACACACACATTAGTGTGTACACAAACATCTATATCTGTGGGTATGTATGCTCGGAGTTGTTTATCATGGAAAATCTCATTTTGTTACCCGTGCAAAATATATAGGAGGGGTATCATGTTTATTAACTGGTTGTTTGCTTTTCAAAGTACTACGTGCTCTAGTTTAATTGGTCTATAGCCTTGCTGGAAATATTTTAACAATTCGAGCTTTATTTCAGCGTGTCTGCTTGATCAGAACTACAATGAGGTTAGGCAAGTGCTGGTTCTGTTCATCCACCATATGCATGTCCTGGGCACAGCATTCAGTTTGTCCATAATGATGCTAAGCTAAACTCTACTTTTTCATGGTTGAACTGAATGGTACATCCCTAATGTACTTCTAAAGCATTGAGTTTGCTTTTTAAGTCCTGCATTGTCAATTTCTGAAAACGTGATTCATAAGTATGTGTATGCAGCATAAAGATCTCATGTTATATCTGAATAGCTATCATAGTTGTTATAACAAATGCGCGCATGCACGCGCGCACACATGTGCACGCAACGTTCCCCCGCCCGCACCTATAACTTTGTAAGTTCATATATTTGTCTAAGTATATTGTCATGCATCACATGTACGGTCCGCGTGTATGGGCCAAATGTTTAAAGTTGAAATTTGAATTTATAGACCGCTAATAATCATAAAAAGGCTCATAGTTTGAAATTTGAAATTTGAATATGTTAAAAGGTAATACATTATGCATGTATGAACATAATTTTTTTGGAACTATGTATTGAAAGTTATGCAAGTTTACGTTGCTATACATATTATGAGGCATTTAATACATTCATTATCTTGTTTAGGGACATTGTTTAGAGATATAATCTAGTTTACATAAATTTCTAAAATATTACACAAATTGTGGAGTACGTGTGAATATCTTCTCTATAAAAATTTTAGAATACCAATTATTGTAATTGATAACTTTTTGTTGGGAAACTTAGTCAGAAACTAAGATAGGACCAAAAGTGAAATTCTACGCAGTTATTCCAAAAGTTTCTTCTATAAGCGTGACCATTGTCTATGTGGTTTGTGTTGTGTATTTCAAATACACAAAAGGTAAAAATGTTTAGTCCCACATTGGAAAAAGAGGTGGGGATGTTTGTTACTTATTTTGCAACATTTGGTTTTCCCAACGTTTTTCAACCTTTGGTGTTCTTAACGTTTTTCAACCTTTGGTGTTCCCAACGTTTTTTAACCTTTGGTGTTCCCAACAGGTTCAATCTTTAGTTTTCCTTTAATTTCAATTTTCATC